TCAGAGAATGGAAGAAAGCGTGTGTTCTTCTGCCTGTGTTTGTTTCTTAGGTGTACATTTGAAGAGTTTGTAGTTATCTGATGGAAAGCATTTATTCTTCAAAGATACATATTTTTATTTAAAACATTCATGGCTTTGGTGGCTCAGGGCAGAAGAAAGAAAAGTTGAATGAAATTGCTTGACTGCTTTAATGATCCTCTAGCCTGACATATCTTACACCTCATGTACTGTGTTACAGTAAGAGCTAGGTAATGCTTTTCATCTCCATAGTGTTGCTGCTGCTTTTTAAAAAAAGGGAGTGTGTGTTTCTCACATAACTCACCTACAGAACATTGTAGAAATGATGGCAAGTATCCTTTTTCTTACTTTTGATCAGTTTTATTGCATTGTGTCATGATGGAAATGTGCAGTTTAAATAATTGAGTAAGGGAGAAGATCCTTGGACTCAGGAAGAAACCTGCCCTAAGGGTTGGAATATGGAGGTGTCAGTAAAAAACAAAAATTACGGTCTGACCTGTAAGTGCTGTAAGGGTTTCTGGCTAGATACTTATTCATTTTCTTCTTCCTTCATTTCCGTTTTTCCCCTCCAACTACTTTGCTATATTTTAAGCAGTAACCTGCTGAATTTCCAAGGTAACACCAAAATGGAATAACATGGTATCTGTGCCTCTGTTTTGACAGTGCCGATCAGGCTCTAGACAGATTTGCTATGAAGAAATTCTTTGATGATAAAGTTTCAGCTTTAATGCAGCCATCCCAGAAAAGGTATTTAGCTTATTTTTAATTCATACCAATAAGAAATGTCATTGTTATATTCTAACCCCATACTTTAATCCCTTCTTTGCTGTATGAAGGCTGTTTCCAAAAGATCCTCTATCAACTTCTGAACTCTTAGTACTTTAACTTGTACTAATCTTGATTGATGAAATTGCACCCTCAATTCCTGCATATAGATTGAGGTAGATTAGATCTTTTATACCACACAGCATGTTTTCTTAGTGTATTGTTTGTTAGCAAAAAGAAGTATCATTGTTTGTTTCTTATTTGCTGCAAGATAAAATCTCTTTTTTATATAGTATTAATGAGGCGTATGGAGTATTTGCTGACTAACGTGCAATAAAGATTTTTTATTACCACTTGCTTGCAGGATCTGTACATTGTCCAACTGTTCCATGTCCATGCTATTAAGTTTTTGTCAAAACATTCATTGTGTATTCTGGCTGTCTGGATGTCTTACTTGTTCAGTCTCTCTGCACAAATCAGATTGTGTTGGGATTCAAATGAAGCAGTTTGGGAAGTGAATTGTTCTGAGGTTGGCTGTGTACCTGGCAACCTGCTTTTGATATACAGTAACCAAGGCTTCAGTACCAAAGGAAACTGATATCCTTTAGACAAGTAATTGTGATATAGCATGATCTCCTTCTAGACATGTAAAAATTCCCCTGGATCTGATTAAATAATTACTGTTTAGGTTTGGTTTTAGCCAGCACACACAGTAATTTTTAGAAGTCATATAAAGGATGAGGCTTTGCTAATGATTAAACTAGAAAAAAAAAAACAGCAAACATAAGACACTCGATTTTCTTCATCTCTAAGTAAGAAAAGCTTTTCCATTGTGTCATAAACTTACTTGGTGTTTTAAACAGCCCTTTTTCACTTGAAAAATAATAGCTATGCTGCACTGTGCAGTGCTGTGCAGTTTATGAGCAGTCCTGCACTATGCACGTTTCCAAATAAAAACAGCAGCAATACAATGATTTTCACATTGCTATGATAATTTTCCTCTGGTCCTGAATGAGATTACTTCCTAGTATAAAGGTGTTATTTGCCCACATTAGTCTTTCTGTTAATAGTTTTGGTGAGGACATTAAAACTTCTGCATTAATGAGGAAGTGTGCGTTAGTGTAAATGGAGTGGGGTCCATTTCATGCTGTTGCAAAAGTCAATTCAGTCTTTTAGTTGTGAATAAAAATGCATACCAAAATGATTGATTTCACTATTGCTTCTAGTTACTTTCATATTTAAAGTAGTGATGTAAATGACAAAAATGAAGACTTTTAACAGTAGCAGTAAAACAGCTATGTATTTAGTAATTTTGTAAATTAAAATGTATTCTCGTGCTGTTTTGCAGAGATTACTCTTTTAGAGTTATAAGTAATGTCACAATGCTTTTCAGTATCCATGAACTAGAAATATTAGTGTAAAGAATGTATTTCCCTGATACGATTGTATTTCTGCTATTAGCTAATTAAGATAAATCTTGCATTTTTAGGTATGTGCAGTTTCTAAGTGGCCTTCTATCTGGATCCGTGAAAATGAATACAGCTTCACTTTTCCTGCACCATGTTATCCTTCATGGCATCCCAAGCTTTGATGCTGGGGGAGGTAAATTATGTATCTTTTCATATCCTTGTGTACATTTAAAGCCTTCTATTCATTCTGAAACTTTCTAAAAATCATGCATAAAACTCAGAGTAACAGGACATCATGGAATGGCTTGGGTTGGAAGGGATGTTAAAGGTCATCTAGTTCCAACCATACTGCTAGATCAGGCTGCCCAGGGCCCCATCCAACCTGGCTGTGAACACATCCAGAGTGGGGGCATCCACAATATCTTTGGGCAACCTGTTCCAATGCCTCCCCACCCTCTGAGTAAAAAAATTTCCTCCTAATATCTAATCCAAATATCCACTCTTTTTGTTTAAAAAAATTCCCCTTATCTCTATCAGGCCATGTAAAAAGTTGGTGAGTTGATGCTCCTTGATATCAGTCTAAAAATTCCCAATAAATGAACCAGAAGAGAAATAATGTATAAGGAAATAATTTTTTGTCCTCTATTAAATTAAGAAATGATGCCTATTTTCTGAACAGTTGTGCTCCCAGTTCCTGCAGAAGAGCTGAGAAACTGATCATGTTTTATGGTCAAGTTTCCTTCCTCTTTAGGACATAAATGTAATTACAATTTTCTTTCTTCTCACTAGAATCCTTTAAAAAAAAACTTTCTTCCCAATTCAGAGTTAGTCTCTAGACCAGAAAGAAGGTTAAAATATAACCTTACACTTTTTAAAGAAAAAGCCAGTTATGCTTTGGAAGATGTATTCACAGTTCACATTTGATCACTTTGCATGCCACTTTACTCAGTCTGGATATACATGAAATTTCCTAGGTCTAAGATTCAGATAAAAAAAAAACAATTACAGAAATAGCCTTGTTGACTTCTTCACAGCTTGTCGGCCTTTTCTGAAGTTGTACCAAGCTACCCAACCCGTGTATACATCTGGAATATAGTAAGTCTCAGTCATTTTTCTTTGTTTTTGAATATGTTTTAATTCTTACAATTACAGAATTCCATAATTCTGTGTTTTTGTTTGCCTTTTTTTTTTTTTTTTTTTTATCTCCTTTAAGTAGTGTAGAGTCAGAAAATCAAAACCGAATCTGCATTGCTATAGAGCCAGCCCAGCTTTTGAAAGGAGATGTTATGGTAAGTTAATCATATTGAATGAAAGTCTAGTATCGTGCCATTGAGATTACTGTCTCTCTTCTGTTTTCAAATTTTGTAATAAATAAATACACAAATTGATCTTGCAAAAACATAGTCATAGAATCACAGAATGGGTTGGGTTGGAAGAAATCCTTAGTTTCAACCCCCTTGCTATAGGCAGGGATACCTCCCATTAGAACAGGCTGCTCTAAGCCCCATCCAGAATGGCCTGGAATGCCTCCAAAGTGGGGGAATCCACAACCTCTCTGGGCAACCAGTTCCAATGTCTCACCACTCTCACAGTAAGGAATTTCTACCTGATATCTAGTCTAAATCTACTCTCTTCCAGTTTGAAGCCATTTCCCCTCATGCTGTCTCTACATGCCCTCATGAAAAGTCCCTCTCCCACTTTCCAATAGGCTCCCTTCAGATACTCGAAGGCCACTATAAGGTCCCCCCAGAGCCTTCTCTTCTTCAGGCTGAAGAGCCCCAACTCTCTCATCCTGTCCCTACAGGGGAGGTGCTTCAGCAAGACTTCATTCACTGAAGTTGAAATGGGAAGTTTTAAAACTATCACTCATAGTTTCCTTTTGCTAAACTAATATATTGGTTCTTCAACTAATGAACTAATTCCTATAGCTAAACAAACCAACCTTTACAATGGTGCGGGAGTTTGGGGCTGCTTGGACCCAGATTGTGGATTCAGTACGGGTTGTACATGAGTCCATCTGTCTATCTCTGTTTCTGCCTTCTTGTTAGTACACAGCTTTTTGACTGTCTCCTGCAGCTCAGTCACCTGTCGCAGGAGGTCCTTCACCTCAGTGGCACAACTTAGGTGAGTTTGCCACTCACGTCTGCTCCAGGAGCAATGTCCAGGCACTTCCTGCTGACTAGGGCCAGCACAGTTTCTTCTTCCTTTACTGCTCTGTCTGGGTGGAGGCATTGGTAATGTCCAGGGTAGGTGGTGCATACCCCCCTTTTAGAGCTGCAGTTTTAGCTTGGCATTGAGTGCTCACCATTCTGCCTCAAGGGTTAGCTGGAATGAGTGCTACTTGCTTCTGCAGCTGGCTGAACCTCAGTTCCCTGATGTATGATCTACTACCCTGGCTGCTGCAGCATGCTATGGGTGACACCCACATTGTTTGCCTGCCCTGTGCTTGGTAGGCAGCGATACGGTGCTCTCCTCTCTGAGGCTTCTTTTAGGGGTGTGGGTGTAGTCTTTGCAGTCCTATGGCATGTCAGCCTCTCTTGTGAGAACTGCCCAAAGCTATAGGGTGGCTCTGCTTTCTTGGTGTTTCCCTGGCAAAGGAAACCCCTGAAACCTCCTTGTATCTTGAGATTCGTTGCTCTGGTACTGGCCAAGCTGGCTCCAAAGCAGCTGCTCTCTATGACTGATATACTACAGAGTAGTTGAAATACTAAAAAACAGGTTAATAATTTAGTTACCACCCTTGATTTTTACATGATTGAAAATCCTATAAAGCTCAGATTGGTATGTTTTAAAGAACCACGAGAATTTCTCTCAGCATTTCCATTTTGTAGCATCACCAAGTACAGTAATGTTTGTAGTGCTATCTATATAAAAGTTGTCTTTGGGGAATATTTGTAACTCAGTGTTAGATTATCCTTGTCCTGCATCTTGGCAGGCAAGATCTGCAATCATAAAACTAGATGCTGTTTCCTATGTGCAAACATAACTATCATTGAATTTCAGCACTGTCATTTTATATCTTTTTGCTTTCTTTCTTGCTTGTGATTTGCAGTTATACATGAGGTAAGTAAAGAAGTACAGTTGCTGTGCCTTTCAATTAAACTAAGAGGGCAAGGGATCAAGTAGAATGAATAAGGATGGGGTGAGACTGTATTGTGAATAGTGAATATTCCTGATATATATATTGCTAGTAGGTTCCAGAATGACTTTTTATATGGTGTACTTTTTTTTTAACTGAGAAATGTTAGTTTTGAATGTTTCCTGTTTTCCTATTCTCTTTCCTTTTTCCTTTTTTTTCCCCTAAACTTTGAAATAATCTTTTTTATTTTCTTCCTCCTTCTTTCTTTTACTCTTTTTTCTCTTCCCCATTCAATTTAGTACATCTTTCTATATTTCTTGCAAAACAGATTTTTAAATATCCTGTTATAAATTTTTATTCTGGAGGTCTGGGACATTTCCAGATTCAATATTTGTTGTGCTTATCTGAGATGTCTACACAGATAGTATATGTAAAGTGTTTAAAAGGAGAAATGAGCAAGCAGTTTTTTCACTAACTTTTTGAAACAGATTGACTTCATAAATCCCAAGCTATTGCTAAATGTAATTCTTCTGAAAAAGCCAGCATCTTATTCAGCATGGTATTATTTCCTAAACAAAGTCTTCCATTCAGTTATGCATGTTTACTGGCAATGATTAAGCAAAACCATTAGGGGTTTCAGGAAAAAAAAATATAGGATGCCCTGCTTCCAATTCCAAAAGATTTATCTAATGGAATAGCATTGCTTTGAAATAATTGGCTTGAAAGACTTGTTTTAGGTTTAGAGGATTCATTAACGCTGTGATGATACAGCAATGCCAAAGCTGTTGAAAAGCTGCATTGACATCTGATAATGCTATATATAGTTATTTCCCAGCGTATTTCACTAGCTTGTATTATTTTTTAATAGGGCATCAGATGATAATGGAGTCAAAGCTAGACTTCAACTCTTAGCTCTCTGAAGGCAACAGCAGAACAGTTCTGTCTTCCTTATGGTTACTAGTTTAACCTAAATTTCTAAACAAATCACTCTACCAAACTTCAAATGCTTTCTGAAATAAAGAACATGCAAGTCGTCTTCAGCGATCATACTGGAAAGCCTTCTCAAAACAGAAGGCCGTACCTTGATTGTTTCTTACAATCACCATAAAGGTGCCTGATTAGATCAGAATTACTGGCAGCTTACTTCTGTTTCTGTATAGACTTAAGTGAATTTCTTTATAGACTAAGTGTTTTGAAACAGGCTTAAATTGTTAAGATGACATTCACACTTGAAAATGTTTCTACCTATCAGGTCTTTATGTGTTGCTCTTCCTGTTTCTTTCAGAAGTTTGGTTAGAATGAGTACTTTTGGAGAAGTTATTTTTCAGGTGAACGACTAATCTCTTAACTGAAAGGTGGAGGTAGGAGTAAAGTTTAAGCTCTTTTGCAGGATAGTCCCTAGGACTGCTGCTGAAGAGACAAACAGCTATCTCAACATGAATATGAATATGAAAAGAGTGTTCTGTTGAGTCAAACAGATTTTTGGAAATTGTTACCTTTATTTTCCTTCTCATGAAAAGCATGATGCTTCAGACTCAGTTGGAGGCTGATAGTTCACTCAAGGCAGCTTATAGCCAAACCCATGTATGATTTTTACGGATGTATTTTGACTGCTGTTTTCCATGTCTTTGCTGACAGATGCTCCCGGTATACGGTCTAAAATGCACCATGTCTTTGTATGCACCATGTCAGTTCTGATGAACTGCTGGAATTTAAGGCATCTTAGAGATAAGAGAGCTAGTGTAATGAAGGCAGAAAGCAAAAGCTTACGTTAGAATTTAAAATCCTGTAGTGTGAAGAATTTATTAGCTGTGTTTCATCCAAAATTCCTACATCTTTCTTGTATTACTCCAGTTCCCTTCAGTTTGAATAACTATTAGTTCCTTGGTTATTCATTATCTTCTTTCCAGAATACACTTTTTTTTTTTTTCCATTCTGGATTAGAAAAAGATTATTTTTATGATACTTTATTATTTTTTGTTTTCAGTACTTTTCAGTAGCATCCTTAATTATAAAACCTTGAAATCCCTTTCAGTCCGGTGACTAATGTAACCAAAATGTTGATTCTTGTATTCCTGTAAAAATGCTTAGTGATCATGTATTGCAGTTGACTAGGAAGTGGTAAGTAAAATATTGATAGGCCTGATCTAAAGGAGGGTTGTGTTAAAAAGTAACGTTATTTTGTTCACTTTTAGTCAAATTCCTATTAAATGGATTTTTCAGAGTTCTGTCTTTTTCTAGTCTGGGTATCAAGACTACTATAAGCTTCCAACAGTAACATTAAAAAAGAGCCTATTATCGCTAGAGTTGGTTTAAAAAAATGTCCTAATGTAGATGTAATCAGCTTGTATGACTTCTGAGAAGGCTTCTATAAAATCTGTGCATTCTTTAGTTCTTTTGAAATGTTGTGCTGTAGTTTAGTTTTATGCTAATTTGGTGAGTGCCATGAAGACATATGGATATGAGTCAGCATTCCAACATAGTAATGGCAAATGTTGTGATTCTGAATCATAACCTATTGATTGGTGACTGATATTGATAAAGATAGTAATTTTTTGTTATATATCCAGAACTATCTTTTCTTAAAAATTCTATAATAACGTGTTTCTTTCTCTTTCTAGCTGAAGTGTTATCATAAAAAATACCGATCAGCTACTCGTGATGTGATTTTTCGCCTTCAGTTTCATACTGGAGCTATTCAAGGATATGGGTTGGTGTTTGGTAAAGAGGACTTAGACAGTGCCAATAAAGGTACTTGCCTTCTGTGATTGCTTGTATGAGTATGTAGAAGAAGTGCATGTGTGTGTCTATGCATTTGGTGGTAATCTCCAAGATCTGTTTTTGGGATTCTTTTTTTCTATCCTTCTATTTCGGGGGAGGGACATTACTTTGTTTTAGTTTAACTCATAGCACTGTAACACAGGCAGAACCCCAATGGAAACAGAAGTTCTTTGTTTGGGTTAAGCTGTCAAAATAATTCCAGTACTACTTCATTGTCCTTAACTGACCCTCTCATGTTCTTAATAGAGTCATAGAATTTCTTGGGTTGGAAAGGACCATAAAGATCATCTAGTTCCACCCCCCTTGCTGTAGGCAGGGCTGCTACCCACCAGACCAGACTGTCCAAGGCCCCATCCAACCTGGCCTGGAACACTTCCAGGGATGGGGCGTCCACAGCTTCTCTGGGCAGCCTGTGCCAGTGCCTCACCACCTTCATAATGAAAACATTCCTCCTAACAACTAACAACAGACATGTTTAAAACAATGAGTCCATTAGACGCCATTGTAGGAATTAATAAGCAATTGTGTTTTTTGTGAAGATAACAGTCAGAAGCTCTGATGTTGGTTCTGTGACCTAGGGTATTTGAATATGGTGCTCTTATTTTATGCTTCTGAATGAGTATCCAAAAATGGAGACAAAATTTTTTTTGAAATATTTGAAAACGTCTCAAATTACTCTTTGTATTTTCCAAAGGATTACTTCAATTTTGTTTGTATTTATATGAAGGATTGCAGTTCTGCTACTCTGTGTTACTAACAAACTAAAACGAAATATGTTTTCCTGCCACATGCTTGTGAGAAAGCTTTATGGTCAAGTATAGTGATTTTGTAAATATACAAAACTATTCTAGTTTTCTAAAAAAACCCTAAAAGTCAGTGTTTGGTTTTTAGCAGGAAGTTTGGGAACTGTTCATCTTTTCTGTTTTTGACTATTCTTAAAAATAAACAAAGCTACAGCTGACACTTAGTCTTTCCTGGAGAAGGTAAGGAAAAGAATGTGTGGCTTTTTTAGAAGCAAATCACTAGAATCCAAGTAAGAAGGGAAGTGTGACAAGGGTATGTGTATTAGTAGCTATAGAGAATTCTGATCTGGAAATTTGGAATAGCTTGTTGAAATATTAACCTTTATTTTCAGATGACCGTTTCCCTGATAATGGCAAAGTGGAATTAGTGTTTTCAGGAACTCCAGAGAAAATTCAAGGTGAGTTCATAGGAGGAAAAAAATCTTGGCAATAAACTGCATTGAAAAGTATATTTATAAAACTCAAAAAACAACTTTTTCCTCTCTTGTTCTATTTCTCTTGTAGAAGGTCTGAAATTCAACTTTAATATTAAAATATGTAATATACTGATTGGTTTGAATGTGAATAATTTAATGGAGACACTGCATAGGAGTCAAGAGACATAGTTTTAAGAGTATACCACAAGTGTTGTTAATGACCAGTAGAAAACATTTCTTATATCTGTGTAAGACATGACTGATATATATAGCTTGGCCCAGTGTAAGTGACAGCAGTGGTCCTTCCCATAACCTTTTTGGATGTTATAGCTGATTATATTTGTTGAAGTAGTGAAGTTTTGGTTCTCTTGATTTAGCACAAGGAAAGGTAGTTATAGTTTTGTTGGAGATACTCTTTATATATTCTTTATAGTTTCCAAAATATATTCTATTTTAATATGTCTAAGATTATAGAGAATTACTGCCTGCAACAAGAATTTAAGATTACTTTTAGCATTGCAGATTACTTCTTCTAATGGATCTGTTCTTACACATTTTGTGATGTCCCAAAATGTATGGATTCTGATTTAAAACTGAACTGAAAGTATTAAAACTGAAAGTATTCTGAACTATTTGTCTCATACATAATATTGTGAATTGCCTGTTTTCTTCTTTTTTTTTTTCATTATTTTGGTTTTTGGGGTAAAAGCCAGTAAGAAGTTATATTCCATCCAGCTGAACATGAAGATCTCACTTAGCTTTTTGGAAAGCTATTTAAGAAAAATGGCTTTATAAACAAACTTACATAGCTGAGCTGAACATTTTTGGATGCCAGATGCTTGAAGAATGACCAGTTGACATGTTTGAAAAAGGATCAGGATTATTTCAACTCTCCTTTAGAGGGCAAATAAGATCCGTGTTTTTTAGCAGCCTCCAAGTTGATGTAAAATAATTGGAAATATGTTTTGTAATTGCTGTCTATGGGGTTAAGTGTCTAGGATGAAGAGTTCACCTTTAAATATTTGTTTACAATTTCTGCAAATGACTGTTTCACATTTGAAAATATTATAGTCTAAATGCAAGATATCTCAGGTCCATCTCCTATTGAATCCAGGATCATCTGTGAAATCAGGAGAGATTGAAATGGGATTTGTCTGACCAAGTCTTGAAAGCCTCCAAGGATAGAAAGTTCACAACCTTTCTGTGCAGACTGTTCCAATGTCTGTCTGCTCTCAGAGTGAAATTATTTTTTCATCATAAAGATAAAGAAACTCTAAACTTCTCTGGATTCAATTTATGTCTGTTCCTCCCACCTTGCATCCACCTGCTCTGTTTCCTCAGTGGCGTTTGGGTGCTGTTGTCAGCAAAATCACCTCATCTCCAGGCTGAAGAAGCCCTAGTTCTGCCTGTCCTCACAGGGCAGTCCTGACTACCCTGGTAACCCTCCCTTGAACTCACAACATTTTATTCATGCTTTTCTTATATCAATTCCAAACCAAACACAATATAATAGAAAATAAGCATCAGTGATACTGGCTTTTAGAAAGGATGCAGTTGCTAGGTAATTCTAAATCTGTGTATGACAAATGTGGCTTTATTTTTTTTTCCTTCTGCCTGCACATAGAAGCTCAGGACTATAATATTATTTTCCTTATAATTTTAACTATCCTTGTTTTGAAAGTCTTACTGCTTATTTTGAACAATTTATTTCCCAAGACACAGCTGTAGAGTTGGTATCTAAGGATTTCTTTATCCCCAGTCCATATAGAGAAACAAGGGCAGAAAGCTGGTTTAATCTCTGTCTGTATCAATCAGTGCCAAAGCCAATACTGAGGCCTTGATGCTCGTGCTTTGCTTTTGAATCCCTGGACCACACCTTAATTCCTTATGGCATACATTTAAAAGGTGAATGTTATGTTTATCTAAGGGAATAAAAATGAGGATTGCTGATGAAAATTCTAAGTATGTTTGGAAGAGCATGCTTCCGTGAAGCTAGACATCTGAGTAAGTTTGCAGTCTCAGGCTCTGCAGGGTTGCTGGAGAATGGAGGAAGCAACAGAGACACCTTGGAGGAACTGGCGAAGAAACAGGCTGGCAGTATTGAGCTTTCTCTGTGCACCTTTAATGTTACACGTTTCTGGTATCAGAATGATGGTTTATAATAAAATCTTATTTTATCATTCCTTTATTGCCATTTCTGTATAGATATTGTGGTTTCAACCTGGGATGCTGTCTGGACATGCAGAGATGGGATCAGGAAAGCCAATGTGCAGATGGAACTGCACTTGGTGAGGGATGCATAAACAACAAGAAGGAATTCTTTAGGTACATTGGTCAGAAGAGATGGGCCATAGAGGACGTACCCCCTCTGACAAATAAGAAAGAAGAACTGGCTACAACAGACATGGGGAAGGCTGAGGTACTCAGTGAGTTCTTTGCCTCAGTCTTCACTAGCCAGGAGTTGCATCTCTCTCACATCCTTCAGCCTCACATCCCTGAACCTCCAGATGAGAAATGGGGAGCAAACTGTAAGAGCAGAGCAAGTCTAAGACTGCCGCATGAGACTGAATGTGTGCAAGTCTATGAGGCCAGACAACATGCATTCCAGGATCCTGAGGAAGCCGGATGATGTGGTTACCAAGCTGCACTCCATCATATTTGAAAAGTCATGGCTACCAGGTGAAGTCCCTGATAACGGGAAAAAGGAAAACATCACTCTTATTTTTAAGAAGGAGAGAAAGGAAGACCTGGGGAACTACAGGCCTGTTATCCTTATGTGTGTGACATCTGTACCTGTGAAGATCATGGAGCAGATGCTCCTGGAAGAGATGTTAAAGCACATGATGGATAAGTAGGTGATCCTTAGAGACAGTCAACATCCTAGTTCCTAGATCCCTAGTCTTCACCAGGGGCAAATCACGCCTGACCAATCTGGTGACCTTCTATGATGGAGTGATGAGTGATGCCATCGGTGGACAAGGGGAGGGTAACTGAGGTCATCAGCTTGGACTTCTGCAAGGTTTTTGACACTGTCCTGCACCACATCCTTATCTCTGAATTAGAGAGAAGAGGGTTTGAAGGGTAGATTATTTGGTGGATAAGGAAGTGGTTGGAAGGTTGCAGCCAGATGGCTGTGGTCAATGACTGTCATGAGTGGTGTTCCACAGGGTTCTATCTTCAGACTCTTAAATATTTTTATCAGTGACATGGATGATGGGATTCAGTGCACCTTAAGCAGATTTGCAGATGATACCAAGCTGTGTGGTGCAGTTGATATGGCAGAAGGATGAAATGCCATCCAAAGGGACCTGGACAAACTTGAAAGGGACCACATAAACCTGATGAGGTTCAACAGAGCCAGGTGCAAGATGTTGCACTTGAGTCAGATAGCCAGAAAAACAAGGGAAGTGATTTTTACTCTTTCTCTGTCCTTGTGAGGCTCCATATGGAGAACTGTGTCCAGGTCTGAGTTCTCCAGTACAGGAAAAACGTGGAACTTTTGGTGCAGGTTCAGAGGAGGGCCACAAAGATAATCAGAAGGCTGGAGCACCTCATGTATGAAGACAGGCTGAGGAAGCTTGGCTTGCACAATCTGGAGAAGAGAAGGCTGCAAGACCTCATTTCATCCAGTGTTAAAAGGGAGATTATGAAAAGGAAGGAAGTCAACTTTTTAAATGGGTAAAAAATGATAGGACAAGTGGAGGTGGTTTAAAACTGAAGTATGAAAGATTTAGACATCAAGGGAAAGTTTTTCACTGAGAGCATGTTGAGATGCTGGAACAGACTGCCCAGAGAGGTTGTGGCTGTCCTGTCCTTGGAGGTGTTCAAGGACAGGCTGGTTGGGGCCCTGAGCAACTTGTTCAAGTGCTTGATCTAGTAGTTGGCAACCCTGCCTGTGGCAAGGGAGTTGGAATTTAATGAACTTCGAAGTCCCTTCTAACTCAAGCCATTCTTTGATTCATTCTTACAAACTTTGTTCCATTGTGTCTGTCTGTGTAGAGCTGGGTGGACCATCTGCCTTGTGTTCAGGAACTGATACGAGTTGTCAGAGTTCCATCGTAAACAAGTTCGGGACAAAATTCTACACTTGTTTCTTTTTCTATAAATATAAATAAAGGTTTTTTAGTTGGTTTATATAACCTTTCTTCCCCTGTTGCTGATTTAAGTATATGGTATTGTAGTTGTGGGAGCAAAGTTCTAACAGTGTGGTATATATAATTTAAAGATGATTTTTGTCTCAAACATGTTAATTTTTTAGGATGTGAACTCCTTCAGAACGATCATGGAGTGGTAGTTGATCACAACACCTCAGACCCGCTGATACGCTGGGACTCTTACGAAAATACGAGCTCCGATGGGGAAGGTGAGTAATTTTGTCTTGATAGCAACTAAAATCCTTTGGCAACTGTGCAAGAGTGTTTGAAAGGGACGAAAGGGAGCTAATTTGCTTGAACCTAATGATGCTGATGTGAGGAGGTAGCTGTTTGCCACTGTCTATTACACTCTGATGGCTCTTATGGAAAGAGATGTGTCTGCAGGACTGTTTCTCACACTTTTTCTCACTCCTGTCTCCCAGCTGATGTTGCACAGCTATATTTCTCCTTCTTAAATCTGCTTTCCTGGAGGCACTACCAGCATCACTCATGGCTCAGCTCTGGCCAGAAGCAGGTCCCTTTAGGAGCTGGCTCTGATTTGACTTGGGGCAGCTTTTGGACACTTCCCAGTTATGCCACACCACCTCTACCACAGCATTCCCACATAAACCAACTGCTGGGATTCACAGTGTAATACCTGGATCTGTATGTGCAATCCCAACAGTGTTGCAAGTAAAAATGGGAGAGAAGGTATTGAATGGATGCCAAGGATCCAGTGGATTCTTGTTTTTACAGTTCTTTTGTTCAGAAATACAAGATACCTGGAGTTAAGATACAGAATCATAGAACAGCTTGGGATGGAAGAGACCTTAAAGGTCATTTAGATCCACCCCCGCTGCTGTGGAATGGGTTGCCATCCACTCCATCAGGCTGCTCAGGGCCTCTTCCAACTCGACCTTGAACATCTGCAGGGATAAGGCCTCTACAGCTTCCCTGGGCAGCCAGTTCCAGTGCCTCACAACCCTCAGAGTAAAGAATTTCTTCTTAGCATTTTATTCTAAATCTTCTCTATTTTAATTTAAAACTCTTTCCACTTGTCCTATCACTATCAGGTTGTGCAGAAAATCAAGTCTTCCTCTTGTTTATGAGGTCCCCTTAGGCATGGAAGGCTGTAATTAGGTCTTCCCAGAGCCTTCTCCAGGCTGAACAAGTTCAGCTCCCTCAACCTTTCTTCACAGAAGGGGTATTCCAGCACTGTTAATCTTTGTGGCCCTCCTCCGGACCCGCTCCAACAGCTCTATGTCTTTCCTGTGGTGAGGGTCCTAGGCCTGGATGGGTACTGTACTCCAGGTGGAATCTCATAAGGGCACAGTAGAGAGGATCAGCCATTTCCCTCTCTCTCTGGCCTGTTTTGACAATGCCCAGGATATGTTCGGCTTTCTGAGCTGCAAGCACATGCTGATGGTTCACATCAAGCTTTTCATCCCCTAGAAACCCCCAAGTCCTTTAACAAAGCTGCTTTCATTGAGTTCTTCTCTCAGTCTGTATACATATCTGGAATCGCCCCAACCCAGGGGTAGTACCTTGTGCTTGGCCTTGTTGAACCTCAATAATCTCACATAGGCGCACTTCTCAAGCCTGTCTCGATAACTTTGGATGATGTTTCTTCCTTCTGTCATATCACCTGCACCACTCAGCATGAAATCATCATCAAACTCGCTGAGGATGCACTCAATCCCACTGTCTGTGTCATTGATAAGGGTATTAGAGAGCACTGGCCTCATGATGGACCCTTGGCAAACACCACTTGTCACCAGCCTCCATCTGAGCATAGCGCTGTTGTCCATAACCCTCTGTGATCAACCAATACCTAATAGCTGTTCTAGACTCAGCTTCTGTTGATTTTTATAAACTTCCAAATATGACTTTGCTCATCTAATGACTACAGCAGTGAGGATTTTAGTGGGAAGCTGCATAATGTGAGCTTAACTTTTTTTTCCACTGAATAATTCCAATCTGCAAAAACTAGGGAAGATCAAGAGAGAGAAGAGGACAGTCATTATGTGAGGCAGGTGGAACACACCACAAGGAGTCACCAGAGGTTTTGTAGTTGAATAAGATTGTCTTCTACAGGGCATGATATCAGACAAACAGAATGCTGACTGAAGCAGGTATGTCTGTTTCTACTCAGAATGTTTCTGTACCATGTACTTCCTTTCTTCCCTCCTTCTTTGTATAAACACAGCCCTCAGCAAGTAAAGCGCTGATTTTAAATGTGGGACAGAGGTCCCTTGGTTTGCTCAGTCCAGAAAAGAGGATACTGAGGGTATACCTTATGGAGGCCTACAGCTCCTCATGAGGGGAGAAGGGAGTAGTGTGATCTCTGTTGCCAGCAACAGAACCCAATGGTATGGCATGGAGGAGGCAGGGGGTCAGTTTGGGTGCGAGGAAATGGTTCTTCACCAAGGACTGATTGGACCCAGGAACAAGCTTCCCAAGGCAGTGGTCAGGGCACCAAGTGTCAGAGTTCAAGGAGTGTTTGGAGAATGCTCTCAGAAACATACAGTCTGATTTTTGTGTGATCCTGTGAGGAGACAGGAGTGGATTCAATGAGACTTTAGGGTCTCTTCCAACTCAGGATATTCTGCAGTTCTATTGTATCTGTCTATCCAATGAATCTTAGCAGATTTCACCTTGAAAGCAGAGAAATATGTTGTCAGCATGCTGTTGGAAGATGCAGAACTTCATATTTACCATGTGAGAAGTGAACAAGAGCTTGGTTTTGTTATGTCCCTTCTTTAGGCAGGGAGTTGCACTTTTATTTTATCAGTCTTCTGAAGGAACTAGTGGTGTAGACCATGAATGTCTAACCTTTTGGCATGGCTGGGCTGCACTGAATGAAGAGAAATTGTCTTGGGCCTCAGATATCTAAGTTACTCTGAAGGCAATGCCTCCGATGTATTTCCATGGAAACTACAAGAGATACAGTGAGCACAATAAGGTTGATAGCATTTTGTATCTGAGAATATGCTCTGTTTTTCAACACAGCCGCCACAATTAGCTATGCACTTTCTCCAGCAACGAACCAGAGCCTGCATGTCATACTTGTAAAAATATGCACCAGCAGAAGTGACCAGGTGTCACCACTGCCACAGTGTGCTCACATCCACTGTTTGGTCTCCATAAACATTTAGCAAATATGAGTGAATGCAGTTTTTTTCCTGCATGGAGGAATTTGCTTCATATGTGCTTCCATGTTAGACTCCTCTCTGCTGTCCTTAGTCACACAGCAACAAGATGTAATAGAATATTTGCAGGAAGGTTCAACCTCCACAATACTGTAGTATAGGAGTTAAACTCTAAACTACTTTACTATCCATGACAGGCATGACTTCTAGATCATTCTTTACTGATTGCATTTTCTTTGTGCACTTTAAATGCCTATTTTTATATAGCTCAGTGCTCACTTAATTGGTTAATGTAGGACTCTAAATGCTGCTAAGTTGTTTGCTCGTTATTCAAGTTGAGTTCTCAGTTCTCTCACATATTGACGCTTCCTTCCAATTTAGATAATCTAAATTTATAAAAAAAATATAGGGTGTACAAAATATTTCAAACCATTTGCTTCTTTCATAAGTTCTTCTTAGTATCTAGTATACCAAGGTTTATTGCATTGCTTATTAGCGTAGTTAGGCTGTTGTCAAATAAGGTACTGCTCATGTCCACAGCTGTTCAGGTTTTTTTAACATGCTGGCAGTTTTAGGGTAACAGCGTGGAACACTAAATGCCACAAAACCTAGCTGCCAGTTTTTGGGTGGTGAAATATGTCACAGAGATGCCAGTTTCAGATAATATCCTTTCTATCATGGTACTCAGTACTACTGGGCCTGGGCACATGTAATAAGCACATGTAGTAATTGGCTTCTCTGTAGGAAAGACCAAACAGCTCGCAGTCATTGACTTCTTGTACAAAGTGGCTCTTTCCCTTGGAGAAATTTCAGATTATATGAGGTTTTTTTAGCAGGAACCATAACATAGCAAAACCATGGTTTCTATTGTTGATATTTCCTTCTCTAACTGAAATGGCATGATTCAGCTACTGGAAAGCTGAATTTCAGCTTTCTTCATCCATTCTTCTTCAGAATGGAATCAAAATGGTTCATAATCAGTGTAATGCTATGATGTGATGGAAAACACAGCAGTGACAGTGGGGTTACAGTGTCCCAGGCTGCAGCAAGTGAGGATAAAGCCAAGTGCAGCTGCTATAGATATAGAAACAAAGGAAAAAAGCTGCTTACCTTCAGAAGATCTCAGGCAGACAGGGACCTCCAGCAAAACATCATCACCTCTACTGCTAACCCTTAAATAAGGTCTGGGAGGGGGTGGATCCTGGCTCCACCCCTTCCAGTTGCTCAGGTGCATAGCATGCATCTAAGCTTTCCTGGGTTGGCCCTGCTTTATCACCAGGTGCTCAATCACTGTTTTAGGCCATGACTTGCATTTCCACTACAGTCAGAAAACCTCTAAATAGTTTGTGGTTATTCAACATTCTGGCTAACACGCAGACTAAATTTGAGAATTTTGTATCAGTGGAGGAAGTACTGGGCAGGGTTATCTCTAAGCCTTACAGAGCATAAATGCATGTGACACTTAAGTAAATAAATAGTCTGCCAGCAGTCTGACTCTCATCTTGTCTGAACTCTTGTTCCATTGGTTGATCCTGCTGGGATGGCACTGTGTAATGATACCAGGAGGGCTAATGAAGGCAAATACAGAAGGGTTTTTCATTGCTTCCCTTTGTTCTCTGACAGCCCTTGAGAAGATGAAAGATTTTGTATATAACATTTCAGTATAGGGAACTAAATTCACACGGTAGAATTTTTCATCTAATGTGATGAAACATGGCTGACTAGCATGTCCAAAGGATTTACAGCACTGTGCTTAGCTTTGGTCAACTGAAAAGTCAGACAAGAAGACTGCATGGTCCAGTGCAAATCCGCTAACCTTCAATTCCGTTTTGTGTTAGGATACCCATCTATTCAAATGAAAGCAGTGTTACATATTGTTTTCTTTTCTGGATTTTAAATTCAAGAATAACAGAGAAGAAAATGTTATCTAGTAGTTAATTTTATATGTTGGCTTGTGTGCTTGTTTAATTTTTACACTTCATTATGGTAACTGCATTAAATATTTCCATATGAAAGTTTTTCTGTCCTTTCACATTGAAACTCCAAGTGTGCTTCATTTTCCTAACAGCAGTGAGAGCTTA